CACCTTATGATCTGCCGGATGATATCGTGAAGCCCATCAAGAAGAAGCCGGCACCCGTCCAGCAGCCCCCTGCTTACGGAATGAACCAACTTTATGGACCACCAGGCTCTGCTAGCTCTGGCCATTCTGGTCAATCCATGTTTAGCCCCGGTCCACCGGGTGGGTTGGGGTCTCCAGCTGACATCAGGGGCAGGTCAGGCTATTCCGCGCAACCAGCTCCATCTCCTGGGCTCACTGGCCGGCCTGGGTTGTCGCCCGCTCCTAATGCCTTACCTCAAAAGACGGTAACGACTCAGTCTAGCGGTTTCTTTGAGGAGTTACCTATCACTCTACCCAAGCGCCCTGCGAGTGGAGCATCATCTAAGTACACACCTGGAGGGCGTGTCCCAAGTGGTGGTACACCGATGGGGCCTCCCCCAACTTCTGCTCCTGGAATGGGCCGGACTCCTAGTTATACTGGCCCCCCGTCACGGCCTACATCAGTGGAGCCCGCCTATGGCTCACCTCCTGTTGGTTCGCTAGGAACAAGACAACCGTATGGGTCATCGCCGGCCTTGGCCCACTCCCCGCTAGCACATGCTGCATCGGCCTATGCTTCCCCACCCGGGACGACGGCTCCCCACCACCCTCCGAAACCTTCACCAAACGCCGGACTATATGCACCTCCTCCAAGCGCTGTTCGTGGGACATCTCCGTATGCTCAGCGTCCAACCGCACCTCCTACAGCGCCGGTGAGAACATCCAGCACGTCGAGTGATGGTCGATATGCTCCGGCTCACGGGCAAGATGGCGTCGGGCTAGGCCTCTCGGCTCCGGAGGGTCTAGCAAATGGGCACCCACCCTCTGCACGGCCACCTTCAAGGGATAGGCCGGGTACCAGGGATAGCATCCAAGCTCACGCTCTCGGTGAAGTTGTTGAAGAAGACGAAGAAGGCAATGCACCGGCACGGTCTTCTTTTGACAAAGCCCCTCCGCCAGTTTCAGGCTTGAATCGGTATAATCCTGCTAATAGAAAGACCCCCCCTCCCCCTGTAGCGAATCCAGGGCTATCGCACCTAACCTCGCCCCCCCAGAGAGCTCAATCTCCAGGAAAATATACGCCAGCGGGATATCAAACCCATACCGCCACATCCTCTCTTAGTTCATCAATACTCTCTCCAACTGACATGCCAAGTGGCTTCGCACCGCCGAAGCGTTCAGCCACCCAATCCCCCGGATTCGCTGCTTTCCGATCCCAAAATATACATGGAATTCAACGCCCTAGCTCTGCTGCCGCCCATGCCACCAACTATACCAACACGTATTCCCCAGTCGACGCCCGCCGCCCCTCCTTCCCCGTCCAATCGTCCTACGCAACGGCGCCTGCACCCCCGCCACAGAACTTTATGGCGCCCCCACCTGGAAGCATAGACGCCAGTGATCCGCTAGAGCGATGGAAAGGTGCCCCGTTATTCTGTTGGGGCTTCGGTGGAAACATTGTTACCATGTTCCCAGTCCATACTACTAGATGGAATGCGGAAACAGGCCAACAGATGATCAAAACTTCGTTGGGTGAAGTTAAAAACCGGCCAGCAAAGGATGTCCTCAAAGGAGATGATTTCTTCGACGATCTTGCCAAATTCCCTGGTCCGGTGTTTGGGGGCAGAGCTGGGGGCAAAGGAAGGAGAAAAGATATCGTCGCCTGGATGGAGACGAAGATTTTGAAACTAGAAGGAGAGTATACGAGATTCAGGGATCCTAGGAGCATGGAAAAAGTCATTCTATGGAAAATCGTTAAACTGTGTTTGGAGAATGATGGCATGTTAGTTGGGAAAAAGGAGGTTCAAGACGCCGTTCGGCAGATCATTAGTCCGGAAAGCGACACACTCGAACTTCCTCGACCCAAAAATGCGCTTCAACAGTCTACTGTCTTTGATAGCAACGCGCTGGAGGCAATTCGAACGCACCTTATGAAAGGAGATAGAGACGCCGCAGTATGGTTCGCGATCGAGAATAGACAATGGGCCCATGCGATCCTTATTGCTTCGACAACATCCCCCGAACTATATAAACGTACAGTTCAAGAGTTTGTGAAACAAGAAGTCAAAAGCAGTGATGGTACTGAACGACCGGGCATGCAAAGTTTAGCCGTATTGTATGAAGTCTTTGCGGGCAATTGGGAGGAATCCATTGATGATTTAGTACCTGCGAGCACAAGGATGGGCATGACGATGATCAGCACAACCGGTAGCCATAGTGCGAATCCGTTAGAAGGTTTGGAGAAGTGGAGGGAAACATTGGGTTTGATGCTGGGTAACCGAAGCAACAATGATATACAGGCTATTGCGAAGCTTGGGTCGTTACTTGAGAGTTATAACCGCATCGAAGCCGCTCATGTCTGGTACGTTCTTAACTCTACTAATTCTCCCTTTTACTGCTAACATTCTGGGAAGTTATTTATTCTCGATGCCAGCGGCCATCTTCTCCGGAGCAGAGGACTCAAACAAGAGTATTTTCTCACTGCTTGGTGCTAATCACGTCAACAATCCCTTCCACTATGGCCGTGACCTCGATGCCATCATTTTATCTGAAATCTACGAATACGCTCTCTCGCTTATGCCTGGCGCCCCCACACTAACAAACTTCCCTCACCTTTTACCCTTTAAACTCCATCACGCCGAAGTGCTCGCACAGTATGGTTTCAAAAATGAGGCACAAAAGTATACAGAGGCTATTTCGGCGTCCTTCAAGATTAGCGGTCGACCTCAACCGTACCTCCATGGGTTACTACTAGAGGGCATCAACGAGCTAGCTCAGCGCCTTAGCCAGGCGCCTCGAGACGGTAGCGGTGGGTCCATCCTCAGTAATTTACCAGGCCTGGGCGTCTCCAGGGGCGGCGTCCTCGCCGGCATGCAGGGGATGCTTGATGCTCTCGTTAATGGCGGCGACCAGCAAGACTCGCCTGCTCCCACTGGTACCAATGGCACTGCTGGCGCATTGACACATGGGGCACCAGTCGAAGGCCAATTCGCAAATCCGCCGGTCATGTCGGATCTAAATAGAGTACAGAGCGGACCAGACCTGTACGGCATTGGATCCGGAGGCTACACGCCATATAATCCAGCCCAGCCGCCTTTAGGTACTACACCAGTCGGAACTATGAAACCGACATCCGCCGCTGCAAATAGATATGCACCGAAGGCAGCGGCCTCTGGACCTTACACACCCCACGCACCGACTTCAGCGCCCAAGACTGCTGAGCCCGCAACCCCTGGATACGGGGGCTACGGAGGTTATGAAGCAACCGCTAGCTACGGGGGATATGGCTACGAGCCAAGTCCGCAACCTACGCCTCAGCAAACACCTCAGCAGCATTCAGACAGACCTGTCGAAGCGTCTAACGGGTACTCCGGATATCAGCCATTACCAATGCCACAAACAGGTGTACCGATGTCACCTCCGTCATTTGACTCCGGTCCTACCGCTTTCAGCCCTCAGGTCCCATCAACAACAACCGACACCTCGGCGTCTGCTCACACAGGTGGGTATGAACCGCCAAGCTATGGATATGAACCCCCCACCACTGAATTCAAACCATATGTTCCATCGCCAGATCATTCAGATAATGAAGGCGAAGCGAAGAAACCAAAGAAGAAGGGTAGTATCATGGATCTTGATAACGATGGGTTTGGAGCCGCAGGGAAAAACTCAGCAGACGATTCCTCAGTCGCTCAGAAGAAGAAGGAAGAAGAGGAAGACGAAAATAGAAAGATGGTCGCTGCAATCGCCCAAAAGGAGAAGGAGGAAGAGGAAAAACGGAAGAGTATGTTGCCCCACCGACTGTTCCACCAAGATTTGAGCACTCAACTAATACTATTGCAGGAGAATCGAAATCTAGTGGTTGGTTTGGAGGTTGGTTCGGTGGCAAGAAGGACCCCAATGCTCCTATAGTCCATAAGGCCAAACTTGGAGAAGAGAGTTCCTTCTACTTTGACCCCGAAACCAAGAGGTGGGTAAACAAGAAAGCAGGATCAACGACAGACTCTACCGGAGTAACCCCTAGCGGAACACCGCCACCACCGAAGCGACTAGGATCCCCAGCACAAATAGGAGGGCCACCGAGTAGACCACCCAGCGGACCACCGTCAGGTCTTGGCACTCCACGGCCAGGAACAAGTAGTAGTATAGATAGCATAGGCTTAAGCGGTATCCCACGGCCACCGCCCTCTGCACCACCCACAAGTGCGCCAACAAGTGCACCGTCTGGCGGACTTGCGCCGCCTACTCCGGGTGGCATTGGAAATAGCAGAGACCCAAGTCCCAGCCGGCCTCCTCCACGACCGGCTACCACTGGTAAAGTAGATGAGATGGACGAGTTGTTGAATAGTGGAGGAAGCGTAAGGAAGCCTGCAGCAAAGGCAAAAGGAAGGAAGAGGTATGTGGAGGTTTTGTAGATATGGTATAACGTTAGATGTAGTGATTTTAATTCTACCGGCTGCTTCGAGAGACTCGGAGGCTGGGCGATGGGGTCTGTATTATGATACTACTACCACCTTTATTTTCATGTTGTTGCTTTTCGTCCCACGGCATCATTAAGAAGAAGTTACTGCGAGCCTTTGTTGAAGCTTGTTTGCGGGGCGATTGCCAGCTTTTACAGCACCGGAATATTCCTTTAATGTAGAATTTATCAAGTTACCGATCTTGGGAGTGGCCCAGGCCTCCTCCTATCTCCATCTTCTAAAAGAAACCCATATAAAATCACATCCGCATATCCGGCGCAACGATTAAAATAACCTTAACACAAGACTCGTTCGCAAGTGGGAAATGAAGCGGAGGAAGTTATTCAGGACAAGACTACACTCAGATTCAGAATCAACACATACAACTTGGCAGCAAAAGTGTCGACTATACATACGGAATGATAAGAAGAGCACAAAACAACATGGCAAAACAGAAATTCTAGTTGAGGGCGACTTTAAACTACTTGAGAAGCCAAAAGATAAAAAGGTAGCCTAGCTAGACGGGCCCGATAGGACTCGAACCTATACCGTCCCGCATAAGATTAGAGTTATATGGGAAGTGCATCCAATTACACTACGGGTCCCTCTTGATGATACTCTGTGGACGGCTTCCGTTATAAACTGGATCTGTTGCCGAATTAGGTAGTCATGTCGCAAGGGAAATCACCCCACCCAAGCTAAAGACATGCACGCCAGAAAGTCTGCAATGGTGGAGTAAATTCCATCAAAACCTAGGCATGCCTAGTTAATATCCAATGATTCAATAAGGCAGGTCTATGAGACCTATCGAGAGGGGTTCTCCTACTTAAGCGTCTACTATTTAGTGCTATCAATCATTTGACAGTTGTCCACAACTGTTGCAGCCCGTTTTTCAACCCGACCAACTTTCTTTCTTTTTCACGGATTTGCTAAATTCGTAGAAAACCTGACTCTACTTTATTCACCCAATTTCATACATAAATACATACGATGACCTCCCTTGATACTTCATCCGTTCGATCTAGTAACGAGCACGAGGTAGCCCAATACCTGCGGAAGCTTGCTGCTGAGGGTGACGTCGAAAATACCACACAACAACTCATCGATGCCGTTGAAAGGGGCTCTATTGCCCCTTCGGCTTTTAAAATATGGTTGAGTATAACACATGATCCAGTTGTATTGAAAAAGGCATTTGAGCAAAACATATCCGTTCGCATCCGAAAACTTGCAGTCGAACAGCTTCAGAAACTACTTCGTTCTCCCAAATGGAGAAATACTTGGGATGGCCTCGGGGCTGTTGAAGGATTTTTAGCTCTTTTCCGAGGCCTTTCCGCTTCCGACGTTCAAGACGCATGTCGCGCCATCAGTTCTAGCACTAAAGGAGTAGACTCTGAGAAGAGGGAAGCAATCACAGAACTCTTCAAAGCTCTGAAAGATCAGACCCTAGACAAACGTCCGCTCGATCAATGTTATCAATATCTAGTAGCTGGGTGTACAAAGGATTCGGTCGTCGAGGCAGTAGATACCTCAACGGAAATATGGAACGATCGCCAACGAGAACTACTCCTACGGAATCATAGCGATATCCTACGAGACAGCTTGCTGAGGATGGTCCTTGACGACGATGGACCTAACAGCCCATGGCTTTTCGCTTTGATGCGGGATTACCCGGCTGCTCCTGGAGCGGTACCGAGCCTATCTTCGTCTATGGAATTCTCACTAGAGGTCCTCCGAAAGCTGGTGGCTGATGAGAAAACATCTAAAATCTCTGACAAAGCATTCGCGTACGAAATCGCCCATCCATTACTTGCACGATGCATCAACAAAAATGTACCGACCGAAATCCTGGAGGAAGTTGTCGACTTGATAGCAAAGTATATAGATCTCCATCCGTCATCCGCCAAGGCCCTTCGGAATCTAGAGGATAGCAGCATTTATCTCGGACCTAGGATATCCTCTAGCGATGAAATACGCCTAATAGACCGAATCGGAGAGTCTTGGTTGCGAAGCCCCGGGACCTTTGAGAGATTATTCCGTTTACTCATTGTAAAGACCAGTCCAGCCCCGGGAGAGGTTAATCTTAAAGAACTAGGCAATTTCACACACAATTTTGAACAAAAGTACCGCTATAAGCTTCTCAAGTTCTACGTCCAGGTCTCTACCGCAAAGGAAGACGAACTTGACGTTGGCTTCGACGAGGGCCTCGCAAGGACTACGGGTTGTCTAGAATTCGACAATATTCCCGATTTGGATGCGGAAGAGACTTTGGACCTATTCCTCCGCTTGCGTAAAGCAAGAGGTGACAGCATTGCCGAGTCCTGCTACTTTAATAGTCGTTGTGGCATTTTCGAGCTCGCAAAAGATAGGGCCTCCAGTTCCCAAGGGCCCGCGGATTTAGACCTATGGCATGTTTGTTTTCTCCAAAGGGCAGGTCAACAGGAAGAGGCAGAGAAACTTTCAAGATTACGCATAGCGGAGCGGAAGAAGGCCCAATCGACCCCGGATCAACAGTTGCGTGCCCTGCATTCAAGGGGTGTTTTGCTTTATGCTATCGCAAGCGGCTCCTTGCCAATATTGGGAGAAGTACTTAATTGGGCAAAACGGCTGATTCGGGACCCCGAAACCGACATTCTATCGTCAGTACCCGACGAAATGTGTCAGGTACTATCCGGTCTTCCTTTGTTGATTGATCGAGACGCCTCGGTTCTTCGAAAACGAGTCGAACATGCAAACCGAATCATGAGTGATCTATTTGATACGGTATGCTCTGGATTACGGGAGCCTAACTTTGAGATCGGCCATTGGAGGGGCGTCTTTCCTTTATTTCATCGCGTGATTTCGCAGCGCATAAATCGGTCGTCCGAGTTGCAAAAAGACTTTTCGCAGGAAGAGATTTACAGCATCTTATGGGAGGACACGCTGCGATTCATTCTAGACGTTGAAGGGAAAGTGCTTGATAATCAGAAGTTGCAGGATAGTGAGTCAAGTTACACCAAACATGGAATTCTCGATTTCAAAGGCGGCAATACCCGCAGCCTGAACGTTAAGACCAAAGACCCATCGGCCTATCGTTTCTTAGATAACCTAGCAAAAGAACGCGACGAACTATGGCAGAAACACCGAAGATCCAAATGCCCTGAAGTCGCAAACTTTGCGGTGTTTCCCCAAGGCCTTCCTCTACAATACCTCCTTACGCCATTTTCTTTGAAATCGACTCCTCCTTTGGAAGACTTGGCCCCATACATCGCATCCCGCGTGAAGGCTATCATTTTTCCCTCTCTGGAGCAAAGTCGAACGCTCATTCCTGAGAAAGGTGACCTACCAACCGACCCGTTAGGACTATTCGTCGAAAGTTATCGAGATGCATTGGAACTATTCGTCCCTAGAAGTCTTCCTGAGCAAGAGAGAAGAGAGCATCTTGATTCTGCATGGGCTTACGCTATCGGCCCCCTGAGCGAAGGCCGTATGAATGCCCAACAGGCTATTCGCTACTGGAAACCCTCCTTCAAGAAATTTATCGACAGTGGTCTTAAGGAGGTTGCAAATGAGCTGACTGACAAAAAGGAGATTGAAGAACAGCGAAAGCCTTACCAAGCGGATCTTAAATGGCCCGAAAACCTGCTAGACATCGAGCCAAAACTTGAACCTTTAAAGATTCCGGCTGTGGGAGACCCCACCGTTGTGCTAGAATGGGATGCGACACCAGAGCAAAAAGAAAAGATCGAGGAAGAGGAGCTCGGGAAACCCACGTACATCGACATTTCTATCGATCCTAATATGCGAGCCGCTTTTGCGAGATACGCTGATGAAAATTACTTTAAGAGACTTTCAGATGTCAAGGTACCCGGTAGAACCTACTGGCATAAACCGATCTGGAGTCGAGCTGGAAACAAACGAGCTAAGTCTGGATATCATCTAAAAGAAGCTCAGATATTGTCGGCTCTTCTATATATTGAGACTAAAACACTACATAAGGATCGCCTCCTACCTGTTTCTTTCCCATCCGCCAATGATATTCGATATCCAGCCAGTTATTTGAGCTCGGAGTGCTTGTCGAAGTTAGACGCGATAGAACAACAGGCTGCGCAACCTTCGGGCCGGAGGCGGAGGCGGAGACGACGTGGTACAAGCCAACGTCCAAAAACATCAACAGGCTTGGATTCCAATACCAAGGCCGCAATCAAAGCTCTTGAAGCTCACATCAGTACCGTACCTCCCAGCTTGATTCTGCAGCTTGCTGAAAATGCATTTTTCAGCCTCAGCTCAAAAGCACCCGAGGATCCGGAGTTCGTAGCCCTTGAATCTTTAGCATTCAATCTTCTGAGGCTTCTAGCCAGAAGTGACAGGCCGAAACTCGCGTTAGAGCTCGCAATCCGTAGTATTTCAAAATATCCTGCTGCTTGCTTCTGGTACAAGCCCATTTTTACAGTGGGCTTCTTCCGCGATCTTGTCCCTTCCGAAGCCGCTAGAGGAATATTAGAATTCGCAGAAACTGTTTCCACCCTATTGGAGCAAATGGAGAAAAACAAAGAATTGAAGAAGGCAAAGAAACCAGATGAAAAACCGCCAAAGGGTGAAGTCGATCCTTCTGAAGGAGAAACAGAGCCTACAACAGAGCCGGAACCAGAACCCGACGCTGACACCAACGCCGAAACCAAGTCGAAATCGCCCAAGGACGAACCAGGATTTGTCAAAGTTTCCACTATCAAATTGCTCATAGAACTCTTCGAAGACGCCGACTTTCTATCTGGGGTGTCTCCTTTTACAAGCGTCCATGAATTGTGCAAGAAGACTTCACACGTGGATATCCACAAAACGGTGATATATTATTTAATTCGAGTAATCAAGTCCTCAGAGTCCCTCGACGCCGAAATCTTCTCAATTCTATCTACCATCGCCGATAAAAACTCCGAAATAGATGTGCACAAATTGATACTCGAGTTATTCAACTTCTCACTCAAGTCTTCCAAACTCGACAAACGAAATCAATCGTTGGCTCTATCGGTGATCTCTGTTATATCCGAAAAAACTGCTGATGTCGAAATCCGAAAGCAGATACTAGAGTATTTCACTTCTGTACTTGATTTACCGGCGGCACTAGATAAAGCGACCCAGGTCACTCTCCTCTTAACGGTCTCAGGAATCTCGCAAGGGACTCTAGACTTACCGCTTCGGCATGCATTGGTAGCCTACCTTCTTCGTGTACTCAAGTCGTCGACCTCAGACGTCTACGATCAAACATTTGACATTCTTAAAGGGTTAGTTGTTTCTTGCGGCAACATTGACGAGCGTGAACCCGTTACGGCGGCCCAGTGGGACGAATTCGAAGAGGCAACCAGGCTACCAGACTGCGATCTATCTGGCCCAGTCACGGAAAGTCGAAACCCAATTCTTCTCAGGTTAACGAAGTTCTACAAGGACATTGTTAAAACCCCCACCCTAAATATCCTTTTCACGGAAAGGATCATGATACCAATCATCAACGAGTTTAAATTACAATCCTCGAAATACTTTTCCATCTTCCTTCGTAAATACGGCATCGAAAAAGCTACACAGGAAAGTTTCGAGATCCCGCCAACGTCAAAGACTATCGATCTCATCAGCA